ACAATTCTGGCTAAAATGTGTCAATCAGCCAAAACCACTTACAAAGATTTTATATTAGTAGGTTCATATGAATAAACTAAGGAAAGTAAACTCACATCCCTCACATAGTAGATACTATTGGAAAATAAACAAGTCCTATGGTGATATAGCTAGCGCGAGCTACAGTGCACTCGAGTATAAAGGCTTATGTGTATGGAAAATATACTTATGAATTAAACTTACAAACAATTCTATTAGCTTTGACAAAGAAGTAATGACTGTCAACAAACAATTCAAACTCGTGAGTCTCGCGTGTTTACATTGAAGCTAGTCTGAGTTTCACCCACTGGCATAGGCGATTTAAAATTTTATAAGGGGTGTGGTACATAAAAAATAAAAAGCCAAGTACTTTATAAAAAAAAATACTCATCAGAATACCACGACATTTTGCACAAAGACAAGAAAAATTGTATTGTTTATCCTGTAAAATTTAAAGAAAATGTAAAATCTAGACTTTGTTTTAGTTAAAACTAGCCTTGTAGGCCACAAAACATTGCTAGTAGAGTGAGCATGAAGGAAGTAGTGATAGTAATTTTAAAGCTAATGGACCAAGATTGAGATGATAGCCGAGGTTTGAAATTAAACCAATGCACTCCAAAAACAAACTGGATTTGTCAAGATGAAGAAAAACAATATGGTCAGATTCAACTGGGCTATATCTCAGCAATGGTTTCATGGATTTGTTTCATTTTTGAAGTGCTAACTATTAATGTCTTGATGGTTTACAGTCTCTAATATCTAATGAGTAGCTCTAACAATGGGCGAGTTTCAGAGGGGCCGATTTTGTACCCCATCACGTTGTAAAAAAAAAGACTCGGTAGTGGCCACATTTTTTTGAGGCGCACATGCTTACTTTCTCCTTGGTCACACGACTCACTATTGTGAGTACTGGTATAAATATATATATATATGCGTGGTCTTACACACGTATATGAACATCACATAAAGACATTTGTGAGGGTTTTATAACATGAATTGATCAATTAGACAAGGAACACAATAATAAGTAATGTTTGTGTGTGGAGACAAAGGATTTGATCTCAATGTTAAGACTTTGTGGAGTAATGTTAACTGTGATGACTGACCTGGAAGATATTATTTGAAAATACACTACCTGTTATTTTCATTAACTGACATTGAAATATTTGGCAGGTAGTGACTTTTCATGAAAGAAATGAGGAGTAGCAAAGAGACTCACACTACATCTGAAAAAAAAAAACACTTTTATTTGCTGTTTATCATAAAGAATAAAGAAAGATAATTCAATCTGATCGAAATGAAATATCCATGGGTGGGTGAAATTATCCGTAGAAAATGAAATACAGACAGTGCTTTGGATATCATAAATATAAATTTGGTTTACACTTTGTTTTATTTGGTTGTTATAGAATACTAGACCACTATTCAGAGGTTATGAAGAATTCAAGGTAATTTCAATATTGCACCGAAATGAAGATTTATTTTGAGATAATTTAATTAAATATTTCAATCCATTCGTGTTATTCATAATTCAAGAAA